GCCTTTGCGGGCTTGACCTTTGCAATTCGTTGGAAGCCTCCAGCTCTTGTACCAGAATGGCAGCTTCGCCGAGGATCTGTTAGGCATAGCCGTGCAGCTTCGAATGAAGGGCTTCCAAAAATTGGAGGGTCCATCTAAGTCGGATTAGAGATGGAAAGCGCTGCCGGGCAGACGCGGGCTCCAATTTCTGCAAGCTTTGAACGACCTATGATTCCAGTAATGTCCAAGAGAACTGTCGTCAGTTTATCACTTCCATGAGCGCAGATGTTCAAGTGAGCCTGCGCGCACGTCGAGCCCTCAAAAAGCTTTGCCACTGTGCTTCAGTGTCCGGATACAGCCGATTTCCCCCTGACCCTGAACCCCAACATGGCGATGATCTTTGCAACGATAGTAGAATGGCAAGCCATCCGCAGTCGCAACAACCCCATCAGGAATAGTAACGTCCCCCCTAAACCCTAAACCCTAATCCCTACATTGTATTCAAATGTCCTCCCCCCACGTTGTACAACTGCAGAACACTGGGAATGTTTGAGCCTTGGGCAGGGGGAGCTTTGCATGTGTGAGGGCTCTTTGAGACCTAAACCCCAATGGCCCTAAACCCTTAAGCCCCTAACAAGCAACCCTAAATCCTAAACCCTACACTAACCCGCAACCCTAAAGCTCAAAACCCCGACCCACCCCAATGCGCCCCAGAAACAGGTGTGGGGATCCTCGAGGGTGAGGCTGTGTTCCTGACGTTGGCTCTTGTTGTTTAGGGTTTGGGGCTTAAGTTTAAGGCTTAGGGTTGAGTAGGCGTAGGGCTCATGGGATTTTCGGCTCGGATTCAGATCTGTTCCTTGAGCCTTGGTTTGTAGCGCTTAGAGCTTTGAGTTTGAAGCTTGGGATTTGAGGATGGTCGTCGAGGCTTAGGCATTATGGTTCAGCCTGACTATGAGCCCTCTAGCCCTACCTCTTCATGTTTGTGTGACTCAGCAACTAGTCAGCAACAAAGTCTAGGCTCTTTGATCGGCACCCGAAGCAGCACGCACGGTTTATGTTGTAGACTTTGGGATTACCTACAGAACATCCTTCAGACAATGCAGTGGCACTAGAATATTTTGACCTGGGCCCCTCAAAACCTTGTACGAACCTTTGGACATGCCTCTTCTCAACCGCGCAAGAGATTTTTTCTATTCAATCGGAAGTGGACGGGTAGGCTTTTAAAGGCGCCGAAAGCCCAATACCTAAACGTGATACCAGGTTTAGGGTTTAGGGTTCAGTCGCTCTTTGGGATGATTTTTGCTGTAACTTCCCTTACTATCTTATAAGGGAACCTATTCATGAATTGTTTCGGGGCGTTCGAAGTACCACCCAGTGATAGCGATGAATATATGTCGTGACAGTAATAGCAGTGTGAGGGGTAAATGCATGATTACAATTGACAGATCCCGAGAGAGCTAACATTGAGGCATGATGTCTGGGCTTAAGGCTTATAGAGTTTGGGGGGCTTAGGCTTCAGGGTTTAGGGGTCAGCCTTGGGGGATATTTCGTGATATCCCGTGTTACCATGAAGATTATGCAGCCTTCCATGTCCACAACTCTAAGGATGGCGAGTTTCAAAACAGGTTCCTCTTCGCAATTCGGATGTTTTGCAATGGAAACGCGGTTTAGGGTTAGGCTTTAGGGCGCAGGGTCCGAGCTACCAGGGTGCGAGTCACAGGAGCCCTTCTGACCCCGTGACTCCTAAGTCTTGAAATCCCTCGCCACTTTTTGTCATCTGAAGACCGAAATCCTACGCGGCGTTTCCAACACAAAAGGCATGACAAGTTGTTAGAGTCCTCCAAAGCCCCAAAACCGAAGCCTCAGTCCGACTGCCGAGCGCTTAAAGTTTAGGGTTAATTCCTACAACTGAGAGTCAGAAACCCAAATTCCAAAGCTCTACAAAGTCTATTTCGCGAGCCTTAAAACCTGCACACCGACCCTTCTTCATTTCGATTGATCTTCTGGCGCTTGGTTCTGAGGCCCCATGCGAGGAGAGTTGCTCTCAAAGATGCTCCACGTGATCATGGCTCCAAATCACCCTAGACCCCAAACCTTAAACTCCAAACCCAAATCGCCTCTTTGTAAGCCCCTACCCAGGACCCCCCCAAAAAATCTCTTGAGGCTCATGTATCACTTAGTCGAATGCTAAGCCTGATGCCATGGACTCTTAAGGGTTTTAGGGTTTAGGGTTTTAGGGTTTAGGGTTTAGGGTTACAGGGTGATTGCACATGAATTAGGGGATGTGGGCTATATTGGGGTCATATTGGGATAATGGAGAATAAAATGGAAACTACGATTTAGGGTTATCTAGGGGTATATAGGGTTATATTGGGGTTAGGTTATATTGGGATACTGGAAAATGAAATGGAAATTACCGTCTAGGGTTTAGGGTTTACGGAATGAGGGCTTGTCGGCCCTAGGGTTACTAATGGGCCAGGGAACCTACTTATCAAGGGCTAACAACAGGATAAAATGGGCATACGATGAGGACATAATTTAATTGCCTAGCTTAGATTCGCTCAGGAGTCTTCGTGCCTGTACCTCAACAGATTTTCCCAACGACCCTAAGCACTTAACCCCAAGGCATAAACACCCAAGTCCTAGACCCCATACACCCTAAATCCCAAATTCTAAACCCTAAACCTCAAACCCTACACCCAAAACCAGGCAGATGACCGCGGCATGGTTCGCGTCCGCTTTCCCTGGGGCTGGGGAGAGCTTCAGGCCACGGATGTCTCTGTAGAGCGGAGGCCAATACTGAGGCGGGAGCCCAGTGTTAAGGGCTTAGGGCTTCGGGTTTAGGGCTGGGGCTGTAGGGCTTTAGGGGATTTAGGGTTTAGGGCTTAGGGTTTAAGGTTCAGGGTTTAGGTTTTGGGTTTAGGGATCTACATTGGATGATTTGGGATTATTGGGGTGTAATTTTTGGAGTTCTTTAGGTGCTCTGAGAGGGTTACGCTTTGGAGGTTCAAGGCCCGTGGCTTAGTGTTTAAGGTTAGGCTTAGCGTTTAGAGTTTAGGGTCTAGGGCATAATGTTTAGGGTTTCGGGTGCTGGGTTTGGGAGTTAAGAATCAGGGTCTGATGGAGGGATATGTCGGGATTAGGTTTCAGGGTGTAGGAGTCTTTGTGGGGATTGCAGGGCGTCGGGTTGTGCGCGGAATTCGTGAGAATTCCTCTCGTGGTTGTCAGGATGAGTGTTTAGGACTGTGCAGGCCATGGTTTTACTGACTAAGGATGCGAGGGATATCAGGGTTTCCCAAAATTAGGGGTACAGTTTTGGGGGTCTCAACAGCGAGGACTATAGCATATTGGGGTCTATATTGGGGTCCCCTTATTTTGGGAAACTACCATGTCAGTAGCGTTGCTAGTGCTTCTTGTTCCAGGAGAACCCTCCCGCATGACCATCAAATTCTAGTTTCTGGCTTTGGTGTTCGGCATCCTGCGGAAGGTGATAGTCTTATTTGGTGGAGAGCTCCTAACCCTAAACCCCTAAACCACTAAACCCCTAAACCCCTAAACCCTAAACCCCTACAGAGAGAAGTTCGTTGCTTCTGACGTTTTTCACATGAGCTCACAGAGTTGTGACTTTGCCATTTGGGTTTAGGGTTTAGGGAAGTGCCGTTTCATGAGTACTAAAGACTGAAGATGCGTGGTCTTGAGGGACCTCCATGGTTGCTGGAGATGCTACAGTTGCCATTCTGCTCGGTATTACAATATATACAGGTCCTGCTGTTGCTGCTACTGGCTTTCTTACTTTCAACGGTAAGTTTCTGCCGAGGGCTCTTGGGTGACGATGGGGAAGAAAAGTTTGGCCTGCTTCATTTTGCAATTGTAGGTTTCTACGTTGGTCCTTTGCTGTTCAGTGAAGATGTGTCTCCTTCCATGAAGGTCCACCTGTCACAGGCCCAGGCATCAACCCAGCCTGCAAATACGCTGACTTAGCTGACTGCACAGTTCTTGGACTCTTTCTCCGACGCAGGACTGTCGACGCTTGAATGATGACCAAACATTATCCCCTGTCATCCGTACACCCTAAACCCTAAACC